TTAGAAACTTGCGAAGAAATTTTAGGGGCTTTCTATGCTTTCCCAGTCACATGTTTACGTGGAATTTGAATCATTTCTGTTTGTAGTGCTTTTGTTGTGAGGGGTCATTTAACTCTTCTGGCAACTGGATTTGTTCCACCCTTATGCCCTTATCCTTCCAACATTAAGTTTGGAAAATGTTTTGACTACTTCATGTTGAGCCTATGCACTTTGCTGGTCTTAGTAACCTTATTTTGCTCTTGAAGATCTTTCTGCATTCATTTGAACTTTGTGCTTTCGCTATATACCCTTATCCCTTTCCTGTGATTATCACTTTACTCTGTTTAGCATTATTGAACCTGTCCTTGGGAAAAAAAATGATGACGCATTATGTTGTCAAAATTTTAATTGTTTAGATTTAAATGCACAGAGAAAAAAATAATTAGTAGCTTTTCCCTCCTTAGGAATTTGATGATGGTATAATTGGTGTGTGAAGAGTGCATTCCTCATCTGACTTCAAGATTGCCCCTGAAGGACATCTGAAGATGGTTAGGTTGTTTACTAGGTTTCAAGAAGAGAAAAGGAAAGAGTAGTGGAAATGGTCATGGATATATTAAAGGAGCAAACTCAGATAGGCACACACACACACACATATAAATCCCATACGGAAAGGATGACTGATGGCTGTCAAATTGAAAATCTAAGGGTTTTAAGGAGTGTGCCATACTTTGATGTTATGTTCCTGGTTTGGGAATAGTATATTTGATCTGGAGTTATACGTACTTTGGAAAAAAAACAAAATGTGGAAGAGCGTAAAATAAGGATATTTTTTACAATGCCTAGATGTAGTAGACCATTTTCATGGATACCCAGTATTTTAATGAAAATGGGATTTCCATGGATAGGAAGTTGATGAGAACTTCGCTGGAGAATCCTCCAGGTTCTAAGAGTAAACCTAAGATAGAGTTGTCCTTCAATTAAGGATTGTTACTTAATGAGACTGGATATTCCAAGTATGCTCAACACATGATTGTGAAGCTGAGTTCCAAATGAGGCCATGCCTGGAGGAAATTTAATGGTCTAATGCTGTTTATTTTGACTTCTAATATGCTACGTACCTTCTTCAATGAATGTTCTTTTCTAGAAGTAGCCTCTTGAAGTTCTGAAAATCAACCCTCTTTGTCCTTTAGGCTGAATCCATGGTAGTTGGATGGAAAGAATTCCTTTGGGATGTTCCTGAAGAGAGAGTTGCTTTAGATGTCACTGCCAGACACTATTTGTCTGATATTCCTATCCTGCTTTACAGGTATGCTTTGATCATACATGTGACAGATATCTACAGAATCAAGGTTTTTGGCGGCTTGCTCATTTATTCTTGATGCGATTTTGCTGCTATATGGCTTGCAGGCATAATTGTTTTTCCTTTAGGATGCAGAAGCAGTGGAGAAAGATCTTTCAGCAAGAGAGCTTCATGAAATGTTGCTGCTTTCTCTCCAATCGTTATGTGGGATGATAACCCAATCCAACCCATAGGTCATTTATCCAAATTGAATTGCTTCTTTGCATCCAAATTTTCAGGCCTCTTCTGTAACCTCTGTGTTAAATATATCAGAGTTTATCCTTTACATCTGCTGTGAGAAATTGAGACTAGAGTACGGGTTTTGGCCATGGAATCTGAAGCTCAAGTAAAAAATTATCAGTTTCACGGCTTCTAGCCAGAACCCTCTCCCGGGGAATAGTTCCGACATTATCGACTGAACTGCTAGCATAATAACAAAGATGGACAAATCATATTAATTCAATGAAGAATAGAACCACGGAGAAATATGATGCAAGGGAAGCACAACACAGAAACCGAGCATTAGACTCCAGCTCTTCTACTGTGACAATTGGAGTTCAAAGACAAAACTGAGAGCCAAAGGCTATGTGATGTCAAGAAGGCTATTGGTGGATACAGTAGATAAAGGCCCTGAGCCTGAAGATAGTTCCAATCCTTCCAACCTTAGAAATGACGTCCAGTTGCGAGATGAAAACTTAAAAATTGAAATATCATTTTTCTAAGTGGGAGGAGAGGGTTGGCCCAGGAGAACTTGAAAGGGCTGTCCTATCCTTATTGGGCTACCAAGCAACTCCAACAGAAGGTGCCTCCAAGACAGATGCCTTCTGAATTCATTCTCACGGATACTGCTTTGAAACTTTCTGCAACGTCCACTCCTACCAGCGAGACCAATAGCAATGCTTGATGAGGAACTTTTTCTGTTATTCAATCATACAATATAGCAACTGATCATCTTATCTACCCACTAAAGGTACTTGTTATCTTGGTGGTTTTTCATATCTCCAATTTTGTTTATCTCTAATAGTTGATCTAGGTTTTGAGCAGTTAAAGTTCAATCAGAGTTTCCCTTGTTCTTCTTTAACTTCCTGGTTACTTGTTCTTTTGATTCCTACCTGACTCCTATATTTTGAATATCAAAGGTCTTGGAGACTTTCAGTAACTGTTTTCACTGAAGCTAGTGGACGGGGGTTATGTAAGAGAATAATAGAAGTTGTCAAAACTGCAAATGTCTTGGGTCTTTCAGTTTCAGAGGCATTCGGCAGGCAGCCTGTTGAATTGCAACAGCTACTTTCTCCAAAAGCACAAGAGTCTCTTAAGGAATCAAATCTCCTTGTACAAACTCATGTTATGCCAGATACTAGTTTTACTCAAATTCTCGCAGAATCCTTTCTAAAGGTGATTTTTTGGGTGCACTTTATGTTCACTTGAGTGTTGATGCTCATATGAATGCTCATTGCTTTTGATATCTCGATTTTATTGGGATAAGAAGCCTTTATATTTCTGCTTCAGTCATATCTTTGCACTGCATGTAAAATCACCGAGAGAAATGTATATTTGTCTGACAGTTGGGTATTACTTATATTTGTATTTCTATATAAATTGTTGACCTCGCATATTCAATATGCATTAGGGTTTATTGGCTGCTCATCATGGGGGATATATGGATTCTCAGAAAGAGAAAGGACTGGCTCCTCTATTGCGAAGATTTTCAGATTTCTTGAAGAGGTCTGAACTGTGTCCTTCTGAACCAGAAATTGGCTATGCATTAATATGTTTAGTGATTACTGGAAAAGAAATACTACATGCCTGTGAGGTATTTTCTTATGATAACAATTATTCTGGGGATAAAAGTATCATGCTTGTTAAGGATATGCAAATGTGCATCATATGTAGAAACTTTGTTAAGAAATATGTGAAACTATAGCCGGTATAATATGACGTTTTGAATCCCATCATTTTTTTAGAGAAGTTATATTTTGAAGGCCAATCCTTATAGATTTGTAGTTGTGATTAGGCATGAGAGTCTAGTGAGAAAAGGCTCTGTTCTTTTCGTTGTAGGATGATCAATAACTCTCATTCTATTATTTCTTCTATAGTTGTATCACTTGTGCATTTTTTTTGCTTTCTAACTTGTTATTTCAATAAAAGTACAAGATAGTCAAGTCAAAATTTTCTGTTTTACTTCTTGCTTTAGAGGGTTGTGTTTTTGATGGGTGAGCCTTTCATTCACTGGAAAATTATGTTATCAGGTTGAGCTTCTTATTCTTTCGCACCATTTCTACAAATCATCAGCATGCTTTGATGGAGTTGATATTCTTGTAGCCCTTGCTGCAACCAGGATTGAAGCTTATGTTATCGATGGTGATGTTGCATGTTTGGGATTGATATTTATGTCATCCAGGGTGAAATTTATTTCGTAAGAAAGATGATTGATTGATATTTTTATTTCAATGTTTTAACAGATTACAAGTAACCCTTTTATCAAAGTTTTACCTATTTTTTCTTTTTTTTTTTTTGAATTATAGGTTATTTTATTTTGTGATATTCACTATTATTTTTTTCTTTTTTTCCCCAACATATTGTGATTAAATAAAAATCAAATAAAAATGGTTTATATAATTCTATTAAATTAATAAATAAATGTATATATTTATTAATTAATGTATCATTTTATGAATTCCAAACATATACATACCTCAAAAAGATAAAATAAAAAAAAATGTGACTTCTTTTCCACATTAATTAGAAAAAAAAAAAAAAAAAACACAACCCACGCGAGGCTGCAGTGTAAGATATGTAAAATTAAAAATATTAATGAAATTTTAAATATATATATGAAATCCAAATTACTAAAAAAAAGCAATTTTAATTTTTACATGAGTTATATCCATAAAAATAACTAATAAATATATTTATTTCAATCTTAATTTAATCAAATAAAATGAACTTATCAACCATAAGTTTACTAAAAATAAATTTAGTATTTGTAGTCACATGAACAATCCTAATTTTACAATACAAAAAAGTACTTATTCCCATAAATCATCGATTGAAACTAATACTTATATAGTTATTACATTTGTTTATTTAAGCAGTTATTAATTCAATTGAATTTATAAATCTATTATTACAACTTATTATTTTCACTCAATTATTTATATTAATAAAGTGGAACTGTATCAAAATTTTATGTGAATAACTAATGTAAAAAAGAAAAACGAAAAAGAAAAAGAAAGAAAGAAAAGATAAAGACAAAAATCAAAATAAAAAAGTGTCAGATTATTGCAAATTATTTTGATGCAAAACGTGTCAGAAAGTAAAAAAATTGTGGAGAAACAACTGTAAATACTAACGTTTTCTTCGGAATTTGCACTGTGCTAGCTGCTGCAGCTGGTAGCTTTATTGTTCAAGATTTCTACACAAACTAAACTAAACTAATATTAGAAAACCAGTCTGGTTACTAACCAAATCCGCCAAGTTTTATGTATGAAATCTTCCTACAACGAAAAACCACCAAGTAAAGCTGTCACTTTCTCTAATTTTTCGCACAGCCATGAAATCTACATCAAACCACATGTTATGAACCATTATAAATATCAAAATTAATTTGTCTTATTCCTCACCTTCAGACAGACAAAAAATAAAAGAAAGAAAGACAAAGTGTTGCCATAGTTTCCTTTTCTGACTAAACTCCAACAATGGTTCGAGCCACTGTCCTCTTATGGGCCTGTGCATTGGTGTTGGTCTCCGCCAGTGTTGTAGCTCAAGACCTTGGTGCCAATTGGGGTGCGATCGCATCACACCCTTTGGACCCAAAAAAAGTTGTTAATATGTTCAAAGACAATGGCATAAAAAAGGTTAAGCTTTTCGATGCTGATTCCAACATTCTAAATGCCCTGGCTGGAACCGACATTGAGGTCATGATAGGCATACCCAATCTTCATTTGGCAGATTTGGCTGAGAAATACAGTACAGCCCAGGCTTGGGTCAAAGAAAACATCACTGCGCATCTGGGTAAGGGGGGTGTCAATATCAAGTAAGTTGATAACCATAGTTTCTTCGGAGATTCCATTTTTTGGGTTTCTACCATCTCATCCAACTTTGTAGTGTATTTTTTTTTATTTCACATATTCGCTTGAAAATTTAAAGGTACCATTGATACACATAATTAAAGAAATATTAAGATCATAAAATAAGGTAATAAAGTTTATAGAATTGAAAGATATTGTTTAAAGTATAAATGAAATAGTATATATCAGATATGACATTCAATATATTTTTATAATTTACTGTCTTCTTTGTAAAAGAAATTGTTTGTATGACAATAAAATAGTACATAATAAAAAATAAGGTTGCCTCTTTTATTTGAAAACAAGGGTTCTTAATCAACCAAAGAAAAAAAAAAAGAATTAGTTTAATCTTTTTAATGGAATTGTTGAATGTTTTCCACTATTTTACAGGTACGTGGCCGTAGGGAATGAACCACTTTTGGCAAGTTATAATGGCACGTATACCAACTCGACATTGCCAGCGATGAAAAACATTCTCAAGGCACTGAATGAGGCTGGTGTTGGAAAAGACATTAAAGTATCAACACCACTTAATGGTGATGTTTACATGACGCCTACATACAAACCATCGGATGGTATATTTCGAGGCGACATAGCAGATCTCATGGGCCAAATATGTGAATTTCTCAAGGAAAATGATGCCCCTTTTATCATCAACATCTATCCTTTCTTTAATCTCTACCAGAATCCTGGCTTCCCCAAAGAATACGCATTCTTCGACCACTCTAACTCGAGTGATTTTGATGACGATGGTGTTAAATATCACAATGTTTTTGATGCCAATATTGACACTCTTGTTGCGGCACTGAAAACAGCTAAAACCCCGGATTTACCAATCATTGTAGGGGAAGTTGGATGGCCGACGGATGGTAATGTTTACGCCACAAAACAAAATGCTCAGAGATTCTATAATGGGCTGTTAAAGAAAATGGCTAGCAACGAAGGAACTCCACTTCGACCAAAGCAGTACCCTGTTGTGTATATGTTTGCTTGGTTGGATGAGGATTTTAAGAGCATTGATCCAGGTATGTTCGAGAGGCATTGGGGAATTTTCTCCTTCGATGGACAACCTAAGTTTCCAATGGATCTTTCAGGGAAAGGACAGAACAAGTCGCTTGTTGGTGCAAAAGATGTCCCATACCTGGAAAAGCAGTGGTGCGTGCATAACAAGGATGCTCAAAACCAAACAGATTTGGCTATAACGGTTGAATGGGCATGCAATAATACCGACTGCACTACCTTAGTCCCCGGAGCTTCATGTTCTGGTATGGGACTTGACATGAACGCCTCGGTTGCTTTCAACATGTACTACCAAATGCAAGATCAAGCTAAAGCAGCGTGTGATTTCCAGGGTTTAGCTAAGCTTGTCACGCAGAATCCATCCAATGGGACTTGTGAGTTCCCGATTATGATTAAAAAGTTCCAAGCTACTTCTGGGACATCGGGGTCTTCGAATTCTTCAGATTCGGTTGCATCTTCTCCCTCTCCTTCCCAACTTCTTTTTCATATTGTTGTTGGCATTTGCATTGTTTGGTTTGCATAAATAGCTACGTAGGTTTGATGATCAGTATGTTTTTTATTATGTATTCCAAATTTTCTTTTATGTGAAAAAAAAAAATAACTAGCCCATTCTCATTCCCTTGATTACCTCTCTCATACTTTTTCTCTTCTCGATTAAATTTTATCTCAATCCTAAAAAGATACATAGAATAAAATTCACTAGAAGTATATGCCTCAACTATACATCTTTCTGGATGAGCTTTATTTTATGCATACATCTTGAGTTTACCTAAGAACCTATTAGTAAACAAAAGAAATTTTATTAGATTTTATTATCACTTTAAACACTTTGAAAATTAAATTTGTAAAAATTTTGTCTACTTTTCAATGGGATACACCATTGATAATGCATAGGTCCTTCAAGCATGATCTCGTGTGGCAAGTGTACAACCAAATGCACCATCACATCAAAAAATGTTGAAGGAAAATTTTTTTTCAACTTACACAAAATGAAGACAATGTCTACTTGTAAATCTTCCACATCCTTCTTCTTCAATGTCTTATAGCACAATCTTAGAAAGAAATTGCTAAGACTATCCAATGCTTTAAAGATATTTTTTGGTAGAAACTACCTGATAGTAACCGGAAGTAGTCTTTGTAAAAGAATATGACAAGCGTGACTTTTCAATCCTAAAATCTTACCATCACTTACATTGGCATATCATGAGATGTTTGAAGCATATCCATCTAGAAACTTCACTGATTTCAAAACATCGCAAAATGTTTTTCTTTCATCTTTTGATAAAGTGTAGCATGCCTAAGGCATCAAGTAAGAACCATCTGAGAGCTTTTTCAAGTGTAATTCTTTCTTCATTTTCATATCCTGTAAATCTAACCTAGTACTTATTGTATCATTTGTCTTTCCTTCGATATTCAACAGTATTGCTAAAACATATCACAAATGTTTTTTTCAATGTGCATGACATCAAGATTATGTTGTAGCTTCAGTATTTTCCAATAAAGCAACTCAAAGAAGATACTATTTTTAGTCTAATTCAATTCTTTGAGAGTTCGTTTTCTCTTTCTTTTGTTTAGATACTTTCCCAAATTAAGATCTTTCACAACCTCTAACTATTCTAATAACTCATTCTCGGATAACTCCTTAGGCTTTGGCTTATTTTTTATCTTACCGTCAAACATTTTACTTTTTCTTTAAATATGATCAAAAGGCAAATAGTGATGGTGATACATATAACAAATTTTACTTCTCAACTTTCACGAAAGAGCATCATGAATACAAATTGGACATGTCAAATACCCTTTTGTACTCTAACCTGACAGATCCCCATAAGTCGAAAAGTCTTTTATAGTCTATAAAACTACAGCATGCATTTGAAAATATTCTTTCTTATAAGCATCATAAGTCCTCAATCCATTTTTTCGTAAATCTTTCAACTCATCTATCAATGGTTTCAAGTATATATCAATGTCTTTTCCTAATGAATTTCATCTAGGAATAAGTAATGACATTATCATGAAAGGCTCATTCATACACTTTCAAGGTGTAAGATTATATGGCATAACCATAACAGACGACATGCTATAGGTAGAGCTCATGAGCCCAAAAGGGTTAAAGCCATTAGTTGCTAGGCCAAATCTAACATTTCGTGCATCATGTGCAAACTAATTATTCTTTTTGTTAAATTCTTTCTAAACATCCCCATTTGCTGGATGTCTTAATGTATCATCATTAACACACTTCTCCTCATGCCATCGCATATCCTCTGCTATTTTTTTAGACATAAATAATCTTTGGAGTCTTAATTTCTTAAGAAAATAACACAAGACTTTCTAAGGAATTTGCTTATCAACAACCTTCCACCTTAACGTCCCACAAGTAGGACAACTTTATTTATCTTCAAACTCGCCCAAAATAGAGCACAATCATATTTGCATACATGAATTGGAACATAATTAAGTTTTAGGTCTCTTAAAGTTCTTATTGCCTTATAGTACGACAAAAGAATTATACTAGTAGGAAAAGCTTCCCTCAATAGTAATATCATATTTATTGCCTTGTTGCTGATTTGGCAATAAACCTTTATGTGCAATAATTTTACAATAAACTCTAATCTAGACATGTTGATGTATTCTGGCAATAGTCCACATTGTGCCTCATTCAAAAGTTTGCTGAATTTTTTGGCATCTTCCTCACCCAAATTAGAATTAAAACTATGATCATTTGCATCCACTCTAGGAAATACATCTTCTAACATATCATTCATAACATTTTTCGAATGTTCATAATTAACAATTGTTCTTTTGTAGAAACTAGTACTCCCGAGAGATTGATTACTAAAAGTGGCATTGTGAAATCAAATTACTCACTATGATAAATCCACTTAGTGTAGCTCTTTGATATACTTTTCAAAAGCAAATGATCTTCTACCTCGTCTTAACTTCCAGTAAATATATTTAAGCAAACTCGACAAGGACAATGAATTTACATTCAACTCCCATATTGGTACGTACAAATTTCATAAAAGTTAAAACTCCAACAACATACTTGTTAAAATACTTAGACTCCATCATCTAACTTTTATCTATGTTAATCATATGTTCCTAAAGAATTTGAACACCAAACAAAATTACTTTATGAAATTAAACACCAAACAAAATCATATATATATACATATATATATATATTCAAAAGAAAATGGAAGCTAAAAATGATAAACTCAATGATGTTACATACGTACACACTGACAAGAGAATTAGTGAGACATATTGATCCATAAAAGACATGTAAAGATAAAAGTGTGAATATATATTGCAGCAATGCAAGTTACCTCCATCCCCACCCAAAGAGAAGAAACTTTTAACCCTAAAGTAAAAATTCTATAGTTACTTTTTTTCTTTAGTAGTTTTCCCAAGTACCAATGGTCTACCCACCAGCCCTTGTTTGACTTCAATTTCAATGCATATCAACTTGATACAGTGAGCCTTCAGGCCTTGATTGCCTTTAGATATGAAACAACAAATAAAGGCTACATTGCCAAAACAACTGATAGAAATTTAATATAAAAAACAAGTACCATTACTCCTAGATCAAGCACCATTTTATTTTCTTTGAAAAAAAAAAAAACATTTCAATTGCAGAACTTTCATATATATTAATCTTCAATAAGAGATTTGTCTATCTAAATAATAGAAACATGTACGATAGTACACAAGGAAGAAATCAAATCAAGTTATTGTTAATATCAATCTTTTTATATGAGATTAGATTACGTTTAAATAATTTTTAATATGGTAAAATAATATAATTTAAAAATAATATAATTTAAAATTTTAATAAAATTAAAAATTATATTTCATATTTAATGTATTAATACTAATTTAACATAATAATTTTTATATTTTATATATATTTAATATAAAATAAATATAATATAAATATATAAATTGTTGAATCTAGATAAACCTACGGGATAATATTAAATCATTTCAAAAGCTATGATCTCGAAGGTTAATGTCAAAAAAAGAAAGCTTATTCAATTTTCCAATGAGATGAATATGGTATATAGTTACATAATTATATAGCAGTCAAATTTAAACCATATTCGCAATAGTTAATTCTACCTAAAGCTAGAACTAAAAATTTTGCAACGTTGATTCAATCAAAGTTGTTGGTAACTTTTTTATATCATAAAAATCTTAAAAAACTTAGAGCTCAAAGATGGTCAGAAATAGATGCATAAATTATCATATGTCGTACATAGCTAGAAATTATAGGCTAACATTAGTTGTACATAGGGCCATAAAAATATAGTCATTTAGTTAAGGTTACAAGTAGTTGTCTTGCCTCTTAAAAGGACTTTTCAATAATTTTTTATTCTTCTAGCTAAGCTAAAGTTTTTACACTTTTTGTTGCTTCACCAAGTATTTGTTTGTCATTAATGCAGTAAACTTTAGAAGGAGCATGGCAAACTTCATTGAAACAAGATTTTTCACTTTTTAACAGGAAAAAATTTCCCTGCAGCACTTACATAAGCACACTATTTTCATGAGAACATTGTCTCAACTCCCAAGCACTGTTAATAAGTTAGCTACCAAATGATAACACTAAGACCAAAATATATATCTATATATAAAGGCATAATTTCCATTCAATAGGTTGTACATTTATTTTTACTGAAAGAGATTTAACCTAGTCGGTGTTCCTCATCCTAGCAATAATTTCATTTATAGTAATTAGCAATGCATCTCTTAGTTTATTGTTATCTTCATCACGCCTAAGCTTCTTAAGAACTTCCACCTGGATTTTAGCAAACACTAGGCAGATACTGTCTTGTGTGCAAACAAACACTAGTCTTAATGCTAGGAAAAATTCCCTGCAACACTTACATAAGCACATTATTTTCAAAAACCACCCTTGTTGCATTTCAATGTGCTATGCTCTCGTACATTTCAATATAGATGTTATATCATCTAGAGAGTATAAATTTTTGGTCGGTAATCAGTTCATATTATCCAAATCTTCATTTTGTAGATCAATATACTCTAGCAGAGTCCAGGAAAAAAATATTTGTATAGACATGCAAGGGCAAATTAGCTAGAAATTAGTAACCCAGAATTAACTACATTTAATTTCTATCACCTTTTCTGATCATACTCTACCATAATATTTGATTAAGCCCTATTCCAATCAGCTTTTCAAAATTTTCAAGCTATCTTTCTATTGTTGAACTGATGTATTTATTGGCCAATAAAAAAAACTATCTGAATTATCATTCTATATAAAGAATAGCTTTACTTACCACTCTACATTTCTATATCATAGAGCAAGTTTCACACAAACCACACTATAGAGATTCAAACATATAGTCTATCTAAATTTTGTTTTCACAAGAACATTGTCCCAACTTTCAAGTACTGTTATTAAGTTAGCTACCAAATGATAGCACTAAGACCAAAATATATATCTATTTGTAAAGGCATAATTTCCATTCAATAAGTTGTACATTTATTTTTGCCGAAAGAGATTTAACC